TTCAGGGTATCGATTCCCGAAGTTAGTCGATATGCTCCGTGATGTGCATGTGATGTGACCGGCTGCCATGACGTCATGATCGTATACGATAGGGATAAGTTCAAGTTTAGCTGCATTCCCGAATCGTGGACAAACTTTATGCGCTAACCAATCACAGACAAGAATTGAACTGTCATTTGTCAGTTTTGTATTTTGTTTTGTTTTTACATTAAGGATACTGCTATTAATAACCAGAAAATCTTCGAACAATTCCATGTTTTATTTCACAGAAAATATGTGAATTTATAGGTTAGGGCACTGAATAACCTCTATAGCAAAACAGCTGCAAGATTCGTCCTGTAGCTGCAACTGCGCATGACTTTCACGTAACGAGTGGTCTAGACCAGTCGTTGCGTTCGATCAACTTTTCGCTCGATGTGGTAGGTTCGAGAATGCAGTGACATTCACGTTCACATCAAGGTCAGTCGATGTGAACAAAGCACATCTTCGGGAATCGAGCGCCCAGGTTCATTCTAGCATCTCAAAGATAATAAATAATAATAATTAATTTATTATTATATAATTATATATATATATAAGTAATGATGGCTAGACCCGATTCCTCACAGAAAAACACTGCCCATAATAATGGTAAAAACAATTATCAATGAGAATGAAAGAAACTTACCTCTGTAATGCTTGACTAACGTATTAGACGATGCAATTTTTATTGCAATCCTTGCAGCAACTATTGCTGCTATTATTGCAGCAATTATTGCAAAAAGATGCAATGATTAGGTACACTATGCAATTTATTTGGCAATTTTTTTATACCCAATTCTAATCATGTATTGGTGCCAATGAAAGTGGAATTGGCATCACTGGGAAATACTTGAAAGCAACTTCACGTCTGTTGTAGACCAGGAAACGTGTGTTTTGTGACGATTCCTTTGTTGAAGGCCGTGCAATTTATTATTTATATTTGCACGCACTTATTCACACTCAGGTTCGTTAAATTCATTGAGCCTGGTCCAAAAACGTCGTCGTCTTCTTTGTTTCTTTTTTTTAAAGAGCAACAGCAGACGCAATAACTAAAGATGCGGCAGCAATATCCATTTTTGAATTCCTCGTAAATAGGTTATTTCAGTTTTAACTTTAAATAACAAACCTGTATATAGCATAAGGGGGGTAATGTTCTCCAGTGCATACCACTTTATTTTTTTTATAAATTAAATGTTACTAAAATATTTACCAAATTGCAAGAAAAATAGCACAAGTTCTATAACCAGAAAATTGCAGAATGTCTTGCTGCAATATTTGGCGCAAGAAATTGCACGTGCAATTTTAACATACACGGAGCAATTTTTCGTGCAATTTCTTGCGGCAATGAATTGCTGCAAAAATTGCAATAAAAATTGCATCGTCTAATACGGCCTAAAACAATTGATACCACAAAGGGTAGCGACTTCTATGCCAATGCCTACAGAAGTTTTTCAGATCCCAGAGGCAATGGACGACGAGTCCAGGGGTGCTAAAAGAAAAACAGATCTTATGAGAACGCTATCTACAAATTCAAGTATTGAATCTGTAGACGACAAGGCCTTGGCGGAGGCCAAAAACCCAAAAAAGAAAAAGGGATGGCCCAAGGGCAAGCCGAGAAAGCCCTCTAGTAGGCCAGGATCAGAATCGGAAGCTAGTTGTGATATTGATTGTGATAGATCGAAGTAAATAAATAAAATCTAGATATCTGTGATAATTCGATAAGTGATATTTTAAATATTATCTACTGTACATATTTATTTATTTATTTGTGTTTAATTGTTGTCTATTATTGATGCTCGATCCTACCAAATATTAAAAAAAAATTCCAATTAAAAATTATACAGTGGAATTGCCGGGGATTAATACACAATCAAAATGAATTGCGGTTGTTAATACAAGAGCATTCCCCAATGGTTATCGTTTTGCAAGAAACACATCTAAAACCAAGAAGTACCTATACCATGAAGTGTTTCGATATTATAAGGAAAGACTTTAACTCACCTGATAGGGCATGTGGCGGAGTGGCACTGGCAATCCGCACAGGTACGCCGTATAAGAAGGTTGAAGTAGCAACAACATACCAAGCTGTAGCGATAAACCTAGATATAATTGGAGGTTTTGCACTGTGTAATGTATATCTACCAAACACAAGTTACGATGTTAGAGAAATCGAACGTATTATTCAGCAACGCCCAACACCTTTTGTGCTCGTAGGGGATTTTAATTCTCATCATACCGTTTGGGGTTCAGCAACGAATGATGCCCGTGGCAATGAGCTCTTAGAGCTGATAGAAGATAAGGATCTTAGTATCCTAAATGACAACACGCCGACCTTTTTCAACGTCCGATCAGGTACTTTTGACTCGATCGATCTGTCTATATGCTCCCCGACCATGCACACTTACCTTAAATGGGAGGTGGAGAGCGACCTCTTCAATAGCGACCACTACCCTATCGTTATCACGATTGGAGATGAGAACCCTCCCATTAGGGCAATATCGAATTTCAAAATCCGGCAAGCCGATTGGAAGGCTTTTACAAAGAAACTCGTTCCTCCCGAAGAGAGTAATTTAAGCCTCGAAACACTCACCGCTTCAATCCTGAACGCCGCGGATGGCAGCATCCCGAAAACGAGACCATGTAACGTTACCCGTGTAGTTCCGTGGTGGTCGCCTGTAATAAAACAAAAAATCAATATAAAAAAACAGGCCCTAATGCAATTCAAACGACATCCTACGAATGAAAATTTGGTCGAGTTTAAAAGGAGAAGAGCGGAGTGTCGACGGCTGATTCTGGACGCCCAAAGAACATCTTGGCAACGTTACGTGTCCAGTATCTCGCCAGATGTCACATCAAGCGAGGTATGGGGGAAGATCAGAGCAATATCCGGCAGACCTCAGACCAGACATCCAAAATTCCTGCGCGGTCCAGACGACACGATAGTGAGCAATCCACAAGAAATAGCCGAGATCCTTGCCGACTATTTCCACCGAGTCAGTAGCTCGGCAAACTACTCTGAATCATTTCTCGAAACAAAAGAAAATAGAGAATCCAGAGTGATCGACTTCGACACCGATGAGCATCTGGAGTACAACGATCCATTTACTACAGAGGAACTAGAAATCGCCATTCGGAGCACAAAGTCTTGTGCACCGGGTCTTGACGGCGTACATAACGAGATGCTTCGCCATTGTACTGATGACCTGAAAAAGAGTATTTTAAAATATTTTAACGTTTGCTGGCAAAAACATACTTACCCCCGAGAATGGAAGAAAGCCATCATAGTCCCGATACCGAAACCGGGGAAGGACCCCCTACTCCCTGTAGTGTTAGTTAAATATGGGGTTGGTACTGGTGACTGTCAACGAGAACAGTTGATAACTTCGTGAGAGTCTTAAGTGTAATGTCGTTGTCTATTGTCAATGTGTAAGAAATGACTCTTATAATAATAATCATAATTGCTGTATGCATTTATTATTAAAGTCCATTTTAGTAAATTCCTGCAGTTGTTAATGTAACGGATCGATCCCTCATATGACACAACACTCCCGAAGCACTATCGCCCAATCAGCTTAACTTCCTGCCTGGGAAAGTTACTAGAAAAACTAGTGAATGTGCGTCTCCAATCGTTTTTGGAGAGTAGTGGAGTACTGGTACCGTATCAGGCCGGGTTCCGTAGAGGGCGATCGACGATCGACCATCTTGTCGGGCTCGGCGATGAAATCCTGCGGGCACTAGACCAGCGCAAACACCTTGTGGCGGTATTTTTCGACATTAGAGGAGCATATGACATGACGTGGAGACAAGGCATTGTAGAAAAAATGTACAACTACAATCTACGCGGAAATTTACCCAAGTTTGTACAATCGTTCCTCGAGAGACGAACATTTGCCGTCAGGATTGGTGATGTCCATTCTGGAGACCGCGTGCTGGAGAACGGTGTCCCGCAGGGTTCCACGTTGAGCTGCTCACTTTTCGCTATAGCGATAAAAGAGATTGCCCGAGGAGTTACGAGAGATATCGACAAACGCCTTTACGTCGACGATCTCATGATAAGTTGTCCGAACGAGACGGTCGGTGGTGCGACGCGAAAACTTCAGGACGCCATTGAGCGTATATATAGAAACGCGAGCGAAGTTGGATTCGTGCTCTCGGAAGAGAAGACGAAGGCACTGCATTTTGCCGGCTCCGCAGGCCGCACTATGATCCCGTACTGTTCATGAACGGCCGTATCATTGAAGTGTCTCGGGAAATTAAATTTTTAGGCCTGGTTTTTGACAGTGAGCTTAGGTGGACTAGTCACGTTGAAAGCCTATTAACATCATGTCGAAAACTCTTAAATATCATTAGGGTACTCGCCCACCACAGGTGGGGAGCTGATCCCAAGACACTTATCGATATATATAAGGCACCGATACTTTCGAAACTAGACTACGGATGTAACGTCTACTCCACCTGTAACAACACTTTGCTAGGACAACTCGATAAAGTCCAGAACCTCGCACTGAGGTATTCACTCGGAGCCTTTCCGACGAGTCCGATCGACGCCCTTCACGTCGAGGTAAACGTTCTTCCGCTGTCCCTGCGTAGAAAGCAAATCTCCGCGCTGTATTATTTAAATGTGTTGTTAAACGACAACCACCCGAACCACCGAATACTCGTGAATCAATCGGGAACTGCGCGATTGAATAACTGTAGATCTCTGGGCATGCGAGCGAAAGAAGTTCTGGAAGAATTAGATTTAGATGTGGTAGATTTCACGGACTCGACCAAAAAATCGCGGCGGTTGATTGCTGGGGGTCAAGTGAAAAACAAATGGGAGGGAATGTGGACAGAGGCACAAAGGAAACTGAGGAAGATTAAACCAAACCCAGGACCATTACTGCATGTAAAGTTGGGAAGATACGCTCTAACGAAACTATACAGATTGCGGATAGGGCACACCGCCCTTACGCATAGTTTCTTGCTGATGGGAGAGAACGCTCCCGAATGTGAGACATGCGACGTTGCCTTGTCGGCGGAGCATGTACTATGTGATTGCACACAATACGACGCACAACGCGTTACCTTTAATATTAAAAGGAATTGGGAAGACAACCTGAAAGGAAGAAATGAATGTGTAAACACAATAAATTTCATGAGAAACATCGGTATATTGAATAGGCTATAACCGTCAAAATATGCCAATTCGAAAAGTGAAGTAAGGCTAATGGCCACAGAAGCCGATGCCTAAAAAAAAAAAAAAAAAGTAGTAGGAGAGGTGGTAGACATTTTTGGTTAAGCGGGGCTAACACCTTGCCAGGCGCCTTCAAAGTTTGAAAAAAGAATGTATGCCCAGTCGAGTATCTGAATGCGTAGGAAGTAGTTAGTTATTAATGTCATCTGAATTAGTTGTAATTGTATCATGTTGAAATTTTCACGTTTCTTATGCCGAAATAAAGACAATTCTCCTGAAACTCTCGTAAAAAGTGATCAAAGTACACTATATTTATTGCGGCCAGTATACACTTCAAATCAGGAGTCCCTTGGCCCTGCGTCATTGATTTGTCAATCAATTTCAGACAAGTTTTTTTTATCGATTTCGCATACTTAATAGTTGTTGCAGCGTTTTAGTGTATATCTGCATATGTCTGAAATTAATTCACAAATTAATGACATTATTTTTTTCAAATTTTGAAGGCCCCTGGCAAAGTGTTATAACCCCGCCACTTCTCAGCCAGGTCTGCATTTCTGTGTTTGGGTATTATTGGAGAAGTGTTGGACAAGTTTTCAGCGTGCCTCAAATACCTACCCAAAAATGTCTACCAGACTATAGCGTATAGATGGGTTTTGCCCTAAGCGGAGTTCTATCAGCGTTTTCCGGAACTAATGAAATACACATTTCATCTTTTGATATATTTTTTTGTAACTTCCGTTTGATGTTTGGCTTCTTTGCCATCATTGTCCGCCTTCTTGTAATCTTCGGCTTTAATTACCATCCCCCACTTCTTTCCCTTCACTTCGGCTCCATCGTTTATTTCTTGGGACTCGCCGCAGATGGGCGCACGAACAATACAAGCTCTTCTTAGTCGCCCATTACTCTTGCCATCATTGAGTTTATGTTCTTCGAGTTATAGCAAAACGCAGTTCATCTTGTTGCCTTGATCGGTATTTCCCGTATCTAAAACATGCACAATCTAATCTTTTATCTGCTATTCTCGTAATATTTATCACAATGCCACTCGAAAAGGCATAAACAATTTAAAATCAAACCAAAATAATAATCTCAAGGCAAGGCTATTCCTATAGCACTCCTTTTTCTAGTAAACCCAACAATGGCAAGAAATGCCAGAAAATCTGAGACCGAAAAATTGTCACAAAATGAAATTAGATTTTGACATATTAATAGAAGAATTTTTGCCAACGCCGTCACTTTTTAATTCATCGACTGTTTAAAAGGATTGTTCAGTATTAAAAGACCGTGAGAGCTCCCAAAGAGCCTTTTAGAAGCTCGAAAAATGTGTGCGTTTATTAGTCTGTTCAAAACATGTCTAGGAACTAAAGTAGCTCTTTTTTCCGTCAAGACTTTTAGAAACCCTAGTAGAAGTGTGCCACATTTTCCGCCATCTTGGATTTGATTCCCAGAATTAATTTAATTCGCTGGGCCAAATTGATTCGCGGTTGCTTTTTTTCGAAGGTGAATTGAACGTTGTGGGGGGTAAATAAATAAACCGACGAGTTTCCACAAGTGAGCAAATGTCTACTTTTAATTCTAATATCTCCTAGCAGCTAAAAGTAGAACATAAAAAAAAATCTATAGAGCAAGATATAACAATCTCGGGAAATGTGACAAATTGCCTTCAATATTGACAGGCTTTGAACAAACGTAAGGCGTCTCTATCTTTATGTCTTGCACTGAGATCCACAAACATATAGCCAACATTTTATTAACGTAGATTAGGACACCCTCCCTCTCATGAAGCCACACACACACTATACAATTAAATGATTACCTTAAAGAGAAATTTGTTCCATGTAAAAACGGTTTGTGTCCATTAAAAAATGTTGTTTAAATTAATGAGCACATTTAAATTCTTTAGAAACTATGTGTTAAAAGGTGTCGTTTAAAGTACACCTTAACATTTGTCTTGTAATCACAATGAACACATTTAAAATCTTTCGAATGGCTATGCTTTAAAAGGTGTCGTTGAAGACATTGTTTATTATTTGTTCCATAATCACAATGAGCACATTTTAAATCTTTCGAATCGGTATGTTTTAAAACATGTTGTTTAAAGTAGTATTTGTAATTTGTCTCGTAAGGACAATTAGCACATTTAAAATGTTTAGAATGGGTGTGTTTTAAAAGGTGTCGTGTAAAGTAGTGTTTGTAATTTGTTTTATAATCACAATTAGTACATTGGAAATCTTTAGAATCGGTATGTTTTAAAAGGTGTCGTTTTAAGTTGCATTTGTCATTTGTCTGGTAATTACAATTGGCACATTTAAAATCTTTGGAGACTTTATGTCTTAAAAGGTGTCGTTTAAAGTAAACTTTAAGATTTGTCTTGTAATCACAATGGACACATTTAAAATCGTTAGAAACTGTATGTGTCAAAAGATGTCTTTTAAAATAAACTTTAACATTTGTCTTGTAATTGCAATTGACACATTTAAAACCTGTCGAATCGGCATGACTTAAAAGGTGTTGTTTAAAGCTGGTTTTATACTTTGTCTCATAATCACAATGAGTGCATTTAAAATCTTTAAAATCGGTATGCTTTAAAAGGTGTTGTTCAAAGTTAGTTTTATACTTCGTTTTGTAATCGCAATGAGCACATTTGAAATATTTAGAATTGGTATGTTTAACAAGGTGTAGTTTAAGACATTGCTTACTATTTGTTCCATAATCACAATGAGCACAATTAAAATCTTTAGAATCGGTATGATTTAAAATGTGTTGTTTAAAGCTAGTTTTATACTTTGTTTCATAGTCACAATGAGCGCATTTAAAATCTTTAGAATCGTTATGTGTTAAAAAGTGTCGTTTAAGACATTGTTTATTATTTGTTCCATAATCGCAATGAGCACATTTAAACACTTTGGAACCGGTATGATTGAAAAGGTGTTTTTTAAAATAGTATTTATCATTTGTTTTGTAATCACAATTAGCACATTTAAATGATGTAGAATCAGTATGTTTTAAAAGGTGTCGTTTAAAGTAGTATCTGTTGATTGCCTCGTAATCACAATTAGCACATTTCAAACCCGTATGTTTCAAAAGATGTCTTTTAAAGTGGTATTTGTTGCTTGTCTTGTAAGTACAATTGGCACATTTTAGCACATTACGTTTGTGTGTTAAAATGTGCTGTTGAAGCAATTGTTTAACTTGCAGCTTACTTTTTGTTGTTTGTGGATCGAAGTCACATTCAAAATCATTGGAAACATGATTCCATCGACAATCAGTTTGTTGTCCTTCTTCATTATAAAGGGATTTGGAGCACTGTGCAGTATTGGTGATTTCGTTCTTTATTGTAACCAATGCGTCGTTGCTAACTAAAACGTTTTCTTGAAGATTTGAATCGATTTCTTCTTCTTGTTTTGGTTCGATTTTAATGAGTGGTGCAACATCATTTCCGTCCATATCTAGTATCAATAACGTTATCAAGAAATGTGTTCTTGTTTATCAAAAATATCACACAATACCAATTTCTAACCAATCCCGCCCTTAGAGTGTCTTACTCTGAGATCACACCCTATTTTATAACTATTAACCATTAATATTGAATAAAAACACTATTTTTATTCAATGCTTAACATATACTAGCTTTGGCTGTAGCTCAAGTACCGGCAAAGGTTGCATTCGTCATTCGATAACAATCTTAATAGTAATAAGACGTAAATACGAAATTGTTGCATAAATCACGTATTCAAAGCACGACAGCAAAAAACGCTTAAAAGCAAGTTGTAAAACAAAGAAATGCTTGGATTGCAAGCAGATAACAAAACAAGGTAGCTGATGTACATCCGGTGGCTCATCTTTGGTGCAATAAAACCCTTTTATTAAATTAAAAGCAACATGGAAATAGCAACTCATATCCCACATAGATTCTAAACCGAAGAGTTTTCGTTAGCAGAGTCCCGTCTCTGTGGGCTTGTGACTTGCCCCTCGTGCGGGGCCTACAGTACAGTTGAGATTCGAGATCACGAAAGTGCTTGTAATTCGCTACAAGAAACAAATCCAATTAATGCTTAATAAAAAATGACCGATTTCATTAATAAAATGCCATTTTGGGCGCCATTTAATTAGCATAGATAGGTAGGGATTATTCCGGAGATTTTTGAGACCATTCGGTTTTGAGCCGGCGTAGCACATAGTGCTAGTAATCCAGAAATAAGCATTCGGGTTTTGCCTCCTCATAATTTTTGATCTCTTCAAATTCTAAAAATTAGTACGGCCAGAATCCACCCAACCTCATTTTTCCCCTCTCTGTAATCCTAACAACGCGTCGGTTCTTTTTAGCGCATTTTTGCAAAAAATTTTTTTTGTAAAAAGTAGCTTTTAATCTCACTTTGGCTGGCTGGCTGGCTGGCTGGCTGGCTGGCTGGTCGGCTGGCTGGCTGGCTGGCTGGCTGGCAGTAAATGCGCGCCCGTAGAAAAACGCTTGTAAAAAGACAAGGAGTGTACATGTAACTATCGGGGCCGTGTAATTAAGAACGTTAGGGATGGGGCTACAAGATTTGGAGTCGACGACATCTGGACGCCATCCCCGAGCGTATTATACTAACCTGGAGATTTTTCAGTTTTTATCTATCTTCTTCTACAGTTTTTCTCCGATTGTTTTCAAATTGGTGTCGTCGGGAAGATCTTGTCAACGCGCACAACTCCTGCGTGGCGGAATTTTGTGTTTTTTTCCTAGGGGCGAAATAAACCACCTTTTGCGCGGCGCGCTTCGAGGGGTAGTCGACTTTGGGCGCCCAAAAGTTTCTTACAGCGCGAATCGCGGTCTCTCTTTCTCGTGTCACTAATAGAAGGTCGAGCTATGTGAAGTACCCAAAAGTTGAATACGATTTTATGCCGGGATTTTAGCGAAATCTACCAAAATGTGAATTACGAATGAACGGGACGTCGGAACTGTGTATCGACAAAGGGAATGTAGACGAGATCTCTACTGATGGTGGAGTCGAAACTTCAAATCCGAATTGTTGCGGGTGATCAGAAGTGGGTGTCGACAAAGGGAATATGGTAACCCCCAAAGGATTTTACTGATGGTGGAGTCAAAACTTCAAACGCGAATTGCAAGTGCACGGTAAGTGAGAAAATGGTACCGACAAAGTGAACGTGGTAGCTTTCGGCAAGATCTTATTGATGGTGGAGTCAATATTGGCTAATAAAACACTGATCTGCCACACAAAAATGCGCTGAAGTCCCTTCGATCTCACACGAGGACTTTGATCATTTTTTATCTTCTCTGGTTGCGTTAGTTTATTCAGATCATTGTCCACTTTCGGCCTCTTTGACACGATTTGTTTGATTTTCTTCGAGCGACTACGTTTCCACTCGGTTATCTCAGTTTGTTTGCCTTTCTAGAAATTGCACCATTCCTGCTCCTGATCTTCGACCATTCTGGATTCTTCGACCTAACAAACCTCATGTTCACCTCTGGATATAAATAATTATCAAGTGCTTTGCCTTCAGATTGTTGTTTTTCGTTTGTTTTTTAATTTTTTTACACGTGTTCAAGTGTATTTTGTTGTTCTGAGTCGAGATTGATACAAGATATGATTTCACGAGACACGATAGTGTTCTAAATGTGGAAAATATCTACCAAGATAATAAAAAGAACTCCAATGCTGACATGAGCTTGGATAGATAATTATTAAGATGAACATGCTCGTCTCGGCAGAAGCCGAAGGGGTCATAGAAGTTCTAAAGATGCCAGCATGATCGAAGGAGACAAGGAATGCCGCACAAACACTTGAAAATTGAAGTGGCTAATCTGTAATCAACGAAATACGATAAGATTCCGCCTCTCAACTGTACCTATACTATAAAAGCGTGGACAAACGTGAAGTATCTAAATACAGAATTCAAAATGTTTAAGCTACTGATCGTGACTACTCTACTAATGGTATTAATTGGTATGGTAGCAGCCTGCAGCTTCAGAGGCTGTTATTGCAGTACCAATGGAATTTGCGAGCATGGTAAAGTGTATTGGTAAGTTCTTCTTTTCTCTAATCCAGATATTTTTGGTATAAGCTTTCGTCTAGTACCATAAAATGATTACTGTTTTCACTGGAACAAATTGTTGAATAATTTAATTGACACTATTCCTTCTGGCTTTTCAGTCCTTACGATTGTGAAATGGATGCGTTGAAGATAATGTGTTGCGACCCGGAATAGGAAGCGTAGGAACATTGTAGTAAGCACCTCCTTCCATACAACATACGCTTGTGTTAATTATACATTAAATGTAAAAAATTAAATAAATCATAATGGTAAATCAGGTAGTGAAGAAACCACTTTATTCATCTCATGATTTGATACCCGTAAATATTAAAATTAACGCTCAAAGGTGCAAAGAATAAAATATGAGCTTCAGCAACTGCTAAAAAATTTGATATAGGTACTATAGCACCCTACCCTGCAAAGAAAAGGGGGCGCTTTTCCAGTTCAGCTTGGAAAAGTTTTAAAAAATCATATCACCAATTAGAAACCGTTCGACAAACAAGATTTTTTAGACTCAGATTCAGAAATGGAAGAATCCACTGGAGATAAAATTTTAATCTCTCCGGTTTGAAGAACGGGCCATCTGAGTTCAGCCACTGCTCCCTATCCGGGAGAGTGACCTTATAACTCTTGGTCTTAGTAAGATAGCCCGAATCACATCCTTTCTTGCGAGCAGGGGATTGGATCTGAAGGATTGCTCCCAGATCCGCCCTTGCCCAAGGCTGCATCGTCACAATCGTTTAGCCGTAAGGAAGCCTTTCGAGCCTTTGCCTCCATTGCTCTAGTCCCAGAGATGCCTCCATGGCCAAAGTTAGCGTGGAAGAACCATAGACTCGTCCTGAACCTAGAATTTTGCTTCTGAATGCCTTATGAATAGTAAGATTCCACATTTAAACGAGCGTGGGATTTTGGGCTATGACCTTAGCCCTCTTGGAATTCGCTAGATGAAACGAATCGGATTAATTCTTGATCAAAAGATGGCATTAATAAAGAACCATTTTGTGGCGTCAATTAATTTGGAAAGATAGGTGGGGATTAATCCGGAGGAGATTTTTGAGGGCATTCGGTTTTGAACCGGCGTAGCGCTCAGTCGTGCTAGTATAGAAGCCATATTCGCACGAAATTGATATTTTACGCGATCACCGCTGTATCTTTGAAGTAATTACTTCATTATAAAGGTGCAGCTTGACATCAGCGTAGTTGAAACCGAGTGAATCCAGGCACCACTTTCCCGTATCCTGAAAGCGGTCCGCGCAAAAAGCACCACATTCGCAATTATAATGATACAGAGAGGCAGATAAAAGTACACTAGTGTAGTCTCTCCAACTAAAACAAAGGGTTAATGTTTAAGCGTGGGAAAATAAGCGTAGACCTTACGAGAGAACCAGCACTGTCAGGCGTTTGGGGGCGCACTGACATTTGTTGTATAGGCTATAGAGCCACTTCCCTACTATAGAGCATTCGCACCTTAGTATGCAGTACAGTGACTTTATAAGGACAGTGGCGACAACTTATCATAATCCGCCATATTGGAGCTAAAAAATTGATTGTAAGATCAATATCCCTTGTCATGTCAAATTGTGAGCGTAGAATAATAAATGTCAGTTTCATTTAAGTAAAGATTCTTGTTCAAAACGAACGGCGCAGAAATGATCGTTTAAAGCTTTGCAGAACAACCTATGGGAAAACAAATGCCTCCCAAATTCAAAAAGGTATGGGTATATGGAAAACAGTATAATAAGTATGAAATATGGTGCAATATCCAAAATGTACATATAAATAATCATTAAATTGTGTTTGACATTTCAGTGTCTTCTGTCACTTCTTGTCCCCTGTCGCGTGTTGCTCCTTCCGGACTTAAAAGTATTTCTTTAGTCTCTTAAATGGAAGACAAAACACGTTGATCTAGTCCACGGAGTACAAGAGATCAATATTCCATGTGCTCCAGCAAACATGAAACCAATTCAAACGTATTTACGATCACAAATGAATTTGCTGCTAAATTTCGGATAAGCTGCTTCTCTAACCAGTTTTCTATCTAAACTCATTAGGTATTTAGGGCTCCTGAAAAAAATTTTACATCAATTACCAGTCGTAAGGTTAGGCACAGTTTTACATCTAAAAACACTAAGCGAATTACATACCTTATAATATCGTAATAAATCCAAACTATATGCGTCTTTAAAAATCGAGTTTATATAAAACTGGAGACGGAAAACGTAAAATAAAGCAAATACAAGAAGCAAAGTGTAAACTAGTAACATGAAGCCGTGACAATTACAGGTGACACTGTCAAAACAGTATAACAAAATAATTATAGCACGGAGTGCACCGCGTCGTTTTGAAGGCTTTCTATTGGCCAGTTTGGAATTTAGCTCCAATATGGCGACCGGAACCAACGACCAATCAAAAACGAGATACCCTGTTGTCGCCACTGTCTCTATAAAGTCACTGTAGTATGCAGTATGGGGTCTTATGGACTATATCCCTCCTTTACTAATTTGCGTCATTCTTCAATAACGCTATCCTTATTCCTTACCGCAATGATGCCAAACTTACATATGATTGAATTTAAGCTTTAAAACAAAATATAACGTCAAATCTTCTTGTATTGTCATTACGTGTGTGGTTCGTTTTTGTCTTTCGTATTTAACACATTTTATTGTCTCATTGCTTTAAAAATCGTTCTTTTAAGAACGCCTCCATCTCGTACTTTATATACAAGGTAACTTTGAGTGTTCTTGTAGAACCGTTATTTGATTTCATCTTTTTAGAATATCCCATTAAATGGAAGCCGAAGCTGAAGCAGGATCTGCTAACGTGAAACGCCATAAAGGAGAGTGTTTTAGCCGGAAGGAGAAACACCTCATTATCAACGTGCTGAACTATTTCTTGGGAACGATGAACGTTACTGCAGCTGTGAAAGAAGCAAGTAAAGCTTTATGTTGTTCTGAACGGAGCATCTATGCCATTAAAAAGGAAGACGGAAACGAAGGTGTATCAAGCCCGAAAAAACGCAAGCAAAGAAAAGGGAAACAAAGCAATGATCGTCTTCATGTGTATGATGAAAATGTGCAATCAGTTATTCGACGTAAAGTGCATAACTTCTTCATTACAAATATTCCACCAACTATGAACAGCATCTTAGCTTCCGTAAATGACGATAACGATCTACCCAACTTTAAACGCACCACATTATTCAATCTCTTGAAAGATATGGGTTTTGAATTTAAGAAGGTTGGCCGCAAGAGTATCCTTATTGAACGGGATGATATTATACGATGGAGACATAAATACCTACGTCGCATCAGGAAGTTGAGAGAAGAAGGTGCTTAATCTTTTTATTATATTTAATTGCAAATTACATAATATTTATATTTTAGGTAAAAATATTGTGTATACGGATGAGTCATGGGTTAACATTGGTCATTCGGTGAGCAGGGCGTGGCATGACACCACCGTTGAAAGCAATCGTCAGGCATTCATCAAAGGACTCAGTACAGGTTTAAAATCACCCACTGGTCTAGGGCCTCGCTTTGCGTTAGTACATGCTGGTGGTGATAATGGTTTTATTCCGGGCGCGGAACTGACTTTTCTCTGCAAAAAGAACACTGCTGATGCACACAACGAAATGGATGCAGACACTTATGAAAAGTGGTTTTTGAACAGCTTCTACCAAATGTGCCACCGAATTCAGTCATTGTTATTGACAATGCCTCGTACCACAGTAGAAAGTTGGAGAAGATACCAACAATGTCGTGGAGAAAAGAACACATTATAGATTGGCTTCGTGAGAAAAATGTACCGATTGAAGAAAATCCATTAAAACGAGACCTACTGGCTTCTGTTGCGCATGTTCGGCATCACTACGACAAAAATAAGCTTGATGTTATTGCACAAGAAAAAGGTTACGAGATTCTCCGTTTACCTCCATACCATTGTGAATTAAATCCCATTGAAATGGTGTGGGCTCAAGTTAAACATCATATCAAAATGAATAACAAAACATTTAAAATAAAGGACATGGAAGAATTAATAAAAATGGGTTATTCACAAGTTACGGTTCAAAATTGGCAACATTATGTCAATCACGTGAAAACTATCGAAGATGGCATGTGGGCAGCAGATTATCTTCAAGATGATGTTGAAGAATTTATAATTCAAGTGTCGCAGTCATCTTCCGATGAATTTCAATTCGATTCCAGTGACTAATATGTATACTGTACATTTGTAAATTTTTGGGGACTTAATAAATACAAGCTGTTCTCGGCCACATTTGACAAACAATTACAACTTGTTATTAATTTACCTTTTTGACTTCTGAGGTTAGGTTAAAAAGTAATAAATAGTGTCTAAACTACCGTTTTACGGTGCAGTAATCGATCCTATAATAAGTTTGGCAAGCATGTACTGTTTCTCCATAAGCCCCATACTGCATACTAAGGTGCGAATGGTCTATAGTATTGTATTACGCATGCTCATGATATAAAATGACAGCAACACATGTATCTGTACAACTAAACAACCTGGGTATCGATTCCCGAAGTTAGTCGATATGCTCCGTGATGTGACCGGCTGCCATGACGTCATGATCGTATACGATCATATATACTTCTCTTATATATATGTATACGATAGGGATAAGTCATATATATAAGAGAAGTGTGTATATATATATATATATATATATATAAGATATATATATATATATATATATGGGATAAGTTCAAGTTTAGCTGCATTCCCGAATCGCGAACAAACTGTATGCGCTAACCAATCACAGACAAGAATTGAACTGTGATTTGTCAGTTTTGTATTTTGTTTCGTTTTTGCATTAAGGATACTGTTATTAATAACCAGAAAATCTTATACTTCTCTTATATATATGATACGATAGGGATAAGTCATATATATAGAGAAGTAAGTATAATATATATAGGGATAAGTTCAAGTTTAGCTGCATTCCCGAATCGCGAACAAACTGTATGCGCTAACCAATCACAGACAAGAATTGAACTGTCATTTGTCAGTTTTGTATTTTGTTTCGTTTTTGCATTAAGGATACTGTTATTAATAACCAGAAAATCCTCGAACAATTCCATGTTTTATTTCACAGAAAATATGTGAATTTATAGGTTAGGGCACTGAATAACCTCTATAGCAAAACAGCTGCAAGATCCGTCCTGTAGCTGGAACTGCGCATGACTTTCACGCAACGAGTGGTCTAGACCGTTGCGTTCGATCAACTTTTCGCTCGATGTGGTATTATAGGTTCGA